CGGCGACGCCCGCTCCGCGGCGCAGCCCGCCGCGGCCGCCCCCGCCCCCGAACCCTACCGGAGCTGCCGCGACCCGCGCGAAGGTACGACCCGCTCCGGTTCCCTGCTCGGGCCACTGATTGGTAGGTAGCACGACCAGCTGTTCCATGTACGGAAACGGAGCACTGTTGGAATCCGCTTTTTCCTTCCCGCAGCCGCGCGCATTTCGCGAGGTTCGCCTGCTGGGCCGGGCGCCCTCCCGTTCGCGCGGAATGCGGCTCGCCGGATCTCGAGATTTGGCGGGTTGAATCGGTGGATTTTTCTTCCCTGGAGGTACCGTAGCGAAGTAGTAATGCGGCGCGTGCCTTGCCGTTTCGGGCAAAGATGCCGTGGTTAGCTTCGAGATCAGCGGGCGAGCGCCTTTTTTTCTGCCCCGGTACTGATGGCCTGGTAGCGTGCTTGCTTTAGTTTCAAAGATAAAATAGTATTAGCCTGCTTATTTCGGGTAACCCCACGGTGCTCTTTACGGTACATTCGGTGCCCTCCCATACAGGCTGTTTAAGCTGCACGGCATGGTCAGTTAGTTGTAGGAGGTGGAAAATGCCAATGTGAATATGGCCAGTAGTTTCAGCCGTGTCATCGAGCCGTGAATGTATACTGAATGTTTGTTTGACAATGACGATGTGACTCTGGTACGCCTACTAGTTTATTTTTTCAGTTGCTGTAACGTTAGTTTGACAGAAGTACATGCTTTTATCGAATCGAACAGTTGTGCGTTCAAGTGCGCTCAGCTTTTCCATTTGCGATTTGCTGTGGCAGCATGTTTCAAAATATAATAGTATAGCCTGCTTATTTCGGGTAACCCCACGATTCTCTTTCCGGTACATATTGTGTCCTCACAGGCTGTTTAGGCTGGATGCAACCGCAAATTAGTTTAGCTGTTTAAGCTGGATGCCACAGGCTGTGAACATGGTCAGTAGCTTTAGCCGTGCATCGAGCTGTGCATATATACTGAATGCAGAAATGTGATCTCACGGTTCAAATGTTAGGCAATGAACAACGAGAATGTAGCTCTAGGACGTACATTAGTTTATCCAGTTGCTGTAACGTTAGTTTGACAGAAGTACCATCAGCTTTTATCCAATCAAACAGTTGTGTTGAAGTACCATCAGCTTTTCCGTTCGCTGTGGCAGCATGTTGCTGTGACACCGGTGTGCCCCAACCAACTTCTCTGCTTTCTGCCTTCCATTTCTACAAGCGGGTGTGGTCTGGCTTGTCACTGATGGATCCTACTTACTAGAAATTGAGCATATCACGGGCAGGGTTAAAATGGTCAAATTTCAGTTGTAGGGAGTCTGAAAGAAAGCTCCTTTACATGCTTGGATGTCTTGGAGACCTGCTTTCACCATTTCCTCTTGCTTTGCCTTGCATGCATTATTTAAAATAGATAAGATCTTCTGTCTCGCTACTAATTCTTTTAGCATATGTAGTGCACAGTCCGTATGCCATTTTTCTACATATTCCCCAAGACATGAGACTCTCCTCTGCAAGGGATTGAAAAGATGGCATCAAAAGGTCCCCGGTCGAAGCTAGACCATGAGACAAGACCTAGACGCAAGAAGGTTAGCTTGCAGCTTTGACATCTCATTTACCAGCTGTATTTTATCATTGCTCTCTATCTTCCTCATCTCTTTACTTCGCATTTCGTATTTACATGATGGCAAATTTATCTGTATGTTAGGTATGCCATCCATTGCCAGTTATCACTTTGGTTTTAGTACATTGACTGAAACCTTTTCCCTATCTGTTCAGGCTCTTGAAGCTCCAAGGGAGCCTCGGAAGCCAAAAGTTCACTGGGACCATGTTCTGGGGGAAATGGTTTGGCTGTCAAAGGTTAGTTTCTGCTAATACAATTGAACACTTGCTATCCTCCTTTTAAATGGCGTAATATTGCAGGATTCTGTCATGGAGCTGTAGTTATTCTATTATCTTTTCTTCCTTAATTTAAATATCCCGCAGGAGTTTGAATCTGAGAGGAAGTGGAAGTTGTCCATGGCTAAAAAGATTGCTCAAAGGGCCAATATGGGTGTAGTTGACCAAGCAACAAAGGATGAGAAAAAACAGAAGGTTTGCATTATCTATATGATATAACCAATCTATATTTTTTATACTTTATTTGAGCGTTACCAAATCAAGGGAAGGGATGCCTTTATTTCTACTATCCAGATATCGATTCCATGGAGTTGTATCTTAGTTTGATGATCCTTTTTTTGCAGGAGGGGGAACATCGCCTGAGAAAAGTTGCCCTAAATATTTCTAAGGATGTGAAGAAGTTCTGGACCAAAATAGAGAAGTTGGCAAGTTTTCCTTTTGTGTGCCTTACTGTACCACTTACTTTACTATGTCATGTTCCCAAGAAACTGAACCAATATCACTTAATGATGTGAATGTAGGTTCTCTATAAGAATCAGCTAGAGGTTGAGGAAAGGAAGAAAAAGGCCCTCGATAAGCAGCTTGATTTCCTTTTAGGTCAGACTGAAAGGTACCACCATCTATTGTTGGTTGATTTTCCGTGTCTATTTCAAACCTTGGATTTTTTATTTTAGGTCAATTGGCCCTGGCTGCATGCTAAGCTTCTGTCATTTGCTTTGAATTTTCAGATATTCTACAATGTTGGCTGAAAATCTCGTGGATGTTCCCCATTTGCAAACACAAGAAAATGGACTGTTACAGACAAATGTACTATCCAAGGAGGAAGTAGCAGGACCTTCCCAGACTAATCAACTGTCCCAGGAGGAAGTAGCAGGACCTTCCCAGACTAATCAACCATCCCAGGAGGAAGTGGCAGGACCGTCACAGACTAATCAACCATTGCAGGAGGATGTAGCAGAACCTTCGCAGACTAATCAACCATTGCAGGAGGATGTAGCAGAACCTTCGCACACTAATCAACCATTGCAGGAGGATGTAGCAGAACCTTCGCACGCTAATCAACCAGCGCAGGAGGAAGTAGCTGAGGAGAACATAAATGCACCAACTCCTGATGATCTAGGTGTTTAGCTTGACAAATTACTGCATGCTTCAGAAAACTTATCCAGTTAACTGTCCTTTTCTTTAGGCTTTAACACTTTTTAGTTGCAGATACAATGGAAACTGATGATGACTACGATAGCAGCTCCTTGAACGAAGAACAGGTAAGCTAATATTTTTTGTTTGCCCATGTTTTTATTTTGTCCATATGAATCCTAAGGATCTTAGTACAAAACATTATTGTTGTGAATAAGTTGAACAATTTGTTTTTATTGGCAGTTTGCCATTTTCTTGTTCTGTTTTTCATGCCAGTATGTTATGATACCACATTTCTGCTCGGCACTCCTAGATTTCTGTTGATTAGCTGCTGTTCAAAATAACAAAATATAATACAACATGACATATACCTAAGTATTGTTATGATACTGCATTTCTGCCCCTGCTGGAAATCTTCATTGTTTTCGCAACATATGAATCACTCTGATATGTGTTGGTACTGCAGGAAGATGACGAGCGCACAATTGATGAGGATGAAGCCCAAATCACGGAGGCTGAGCGCAATGAAGAATTAGCTGCATTGCAGGCAGAAGCTGACATACCAATTGATGATCTTCTTAAGTCGTATCTCAAAAGCCAAGGTGATCCCCGAAAGCAGTTCTCTTCTACCTGCCTTAACATATGTAGAGACAGCACTGTGCTCTATTTGTTGCTAAATTGATAAATTGATCAGCTCAAGCATTCTTAGTTAGCAGGGAAAGCAGTCCAGCTAACAAAGACACTTGCAGCAACTCAGATTTGAAGAATTCAACTAAAGGTTAGATTTTCAAATACCTGTATGGCATTAGGAAACTGAAATACTGCATACTCATTTATGTCTTTCCAAATTAATCTGGCCTTTTTGCTGTTTATTATCAGATTCTTCAAACCAAGTTAATGGCTGTAATCATGATTCTGGTTATACTTCAAGTGATGAAGGCAATTTTTCTGAGGAAGTTGATGATAGCCACCATTATGCTGAGTTTGTGAAGAGGAATCATGTACAGTTGTTTTCCTTGTGCCTTTTTTTGCATATGGCCATGTGTGTGAGAGAGCCAAGGCTATCAAGTTATAGAATGTTCTCTAACCTTCTACTAAATTTTTTTTTTTGCAGGGGAAAAGTAACGGCGGTATCTCTGGTGAGCAGGTATACATTTCAATAACCTGTTTTACTGTTGTAGAATTTCTCTCCTCGTTACAAAATCATCTAACTTTGAAAAAAAACTTCATTTCCTCCCTCGCTTGTTGCTTGACTAGTGTTCACCCTGAACTGTAATACAGTTTAGAATATATCATTTTGTTTTGTGAAAAATCTACTTTTCGCCAGTTGCGTGAGTCTGATTTTCACCCCAAACCCTGACATGTCTGGACTCTTGAAGCCAAGCAAATCTTGTCAGTAGACTGGTTTAGTGAGTGGTTTTTGGTGATGTGGCATACTAGTAACTTAGCACGAACTTGATGCCAAAATTCATCGGACTAAAAGTGGTGGTGGATTTATCGGGGGGAGTGATCATGAGATCCAGATTCACCAGCAATTTTGAAGAGGAGCTCACTAGGTCAGTTGAACAATGCGGTGGACTTGATCAGTTTCTTCTTTCCCAGTCTGCTGCACCGCCCCCTTTCTTTCACCAATTTGGGCTTCACTCTAGTTTTCCATCGTACACTTCCCATCCACTGAATTGAAGCTACCTTTTAACCTGCTCGTCCTCTGCCATTCCTCCCCATGTGGAGTCAGCCCTTGTCTGTGTTGTGCGACAGTGCTTGAACAGATTGACGTGGTTAGCGAAGCATGTGAGGTGGACATGTTGGATCTGCATGTTGAACACATTCACCTCAGGTATCAGTTTCTTTGTGCAGAGCACTCCTAAAGATTAGCTGAAGCAGGCCCTTGCTTTACCCCCAGGATTGCATGGGAGGGAGGCAAATACAAAGATGGTGTTTCAAAAACAAATGTGCCACTTGCACTTCGGGTCTATTGCCTACCGGAGGTTGAGGTGGCAGCCATGTCATCCAAAACTGTTTTTCCAACTAGATTAAGATAACATTTTCTTTGAGGGTTGAGGTTCATCTTAACGGTATGTTAATTTATGGTAAAAAGTTAAGTCTCACTTAAGAGTTTAGGGAGGGATAGTTAAAATCTGAGGAAGGGTCACAACAACAGAATGCCGAAATGCCAATGGGAAATATGCATTAGAGAGTTTTGGAGTGTGAAGTAGGAAGGGACAAATTAACAAGATGTTGAAAATCTTAATGGCAATAATCCCTTTTCACTTCCTTTGTCCAACTAACATGCACAGTCAAGATTTTCTATTAATGATGGACCATGCTGATGCCTATTGAATGGGATAATCTTTCTGCTCAACCTTCTCCACAGCTTAAAAACCAGAGGCATGCGACATAGGAACCGTGAACTGGAGTAGTAATTGGCAAGCGTTCACAGGTTGAATAGCTTGCTGAAAATTGTTAACGTGGATTGAAATACCAAGCAATCCTAGTGATTATCCTGTTTGTGTTTTGGCATGATCTGCTTTGGTGTAATAAATGCGAAAGTATACCTAAGTCAACGATCTGTTTTTCTTCTTAAGTACTGTGTGGGGAATCTATGGTTTTGCATACTAACTCGTATTGTTTATTATTTTCAGGAGGATAACGATTATGTTTGTACTGATGAAGGAAAGGTAGTGCACCCATCTTCATCTGATTTCTTCACCACTTGCTTGTTTGCTGATACTTAACGTTATACTAATTGGATGGAAGTTGCTCTGGAAGATTTGAAACACATCCTTTCATGATTCATGGAGTAGCCATGTGCATTGAATTCTCGTACCTTTCGTATATGTGTTTATCTTTGTCTATTTGGGAGCCTTATTAGATCCATCTATTTGATAGGATGATGAAGCAACTTTATCTGAAGAGGAAGATTTGGCAAAGAAAGATGGCCCTGATCCTTTGGATGAGGTGATTTTATACATTAGTCAGTAATGTGGTTGAACTGTTCACATTGTCATTTTGAGCTGCTGTAGTTGTGAATTTACGGATTTGGTTACTACATGAATGAACTAGTCAGTAAAACCTGCTCGTGCAATTGATTCACTATCAATGTCATACAATGCAACTACCAAAGATTAGCACTTTTTCAGTATTTTAATTGGTTATAAGCTTCTGATGGCCATTCTCTTAGTAGCACATCTGTAGAGCAAATTGTGAAATTCTGATTCTGTCAATCTGCTATCTGACTTTTAAGCAAAATTTAATTTAAGATGGATATTTGGGCAAAGAGCTTCCAAAGTTTTAGAGGTTTTTGTTATGTCTGTTAAACAAAGTGTCTTGGGCGCATGCACACAAAATGCCCCTATGTTCTAGATATCAGAAAACAACTGAGCTTTATTGTTTGCTTGTGAAGCCAGAGTGGAAAACAATGAGAAAACTGAGTGAGGTCAGAACCACTGCAGTGAAAGATGGGTCTAAAATGATTAATGTTCATTGACTGAACTTTATTTTAATTAAAGACCTAGCATACATTTGTAGAAAACCCAGATGGGGGCATTGGGCTGTTTTAAGTTGCTTGTGTGTTTAAGACCCTTTTATTTGAGGTTCCAATTTTATGATCATTGCACGCATATACTAGCTTCGCCCTTGCATATTTCCTACTAACTCTTTATCATTGATCTTGTTTCGTAAATACAGATTAAGCTTCTGCAAAAAGAGAGTGAGATCCCACTAGAAGAACTTCTTGCGAGGTACCCAAAGGTATGCAGATTTTCCATTTGCTTTCTTCAATTGCATTTTACTGTGGTCCATCTGTAATGCCCTTTTTATATTTATATAGGATGGCTATGCAGATGACGTAACAACAGAACTGGAGGATTCACCCACACATTCTAGCGAAGAGGTTAATAGTGACATGTCTCTGGATGATCTACCTGCGGACTTGGAACTGAACAATGATACGTTTGAAAATCATGAAATAGCAGAAGTGCTGGGAACTGAGCATGTGAGCGGCAATGCCCTACAACTAGAAATAGTTTCAGAGCCTAGCGTGCAAGAAACCTCTGTTAAAGGAGACGAGCTGACTGATGCTAAGGTGATGGCCGATGAGGAAGCTAGTGTACAAGAATGTTCTGTTGAAGAAGTTGAGATGACCGATGCTAAGGTGATGGCCGATCAGGAAACTATTGTACAAGAATGTCCTGTTAAAGAAGATGAGCTGACTGATGCTAAGGTGATGGCCGATGAGGAAACTAGTGTACAAGAACGTTCTGTTAAAGAAGATGAGCTGACTGATGCTAAGGCGATTGCCGATGAGGAAACTGGTGACAGTGTAATGGCTGATGCTGCTGCTGCTGCAAGAGCAGCACAACCAACTGGGAACACCTTCTCAACAACGAGTGTCCGCACGAAATTCCCATTCCTTCTCAAGCATTCTCTTCGGGAATATCAGCATATTGGGTTGGACTGGTTGGTTGCTATGTATGAAAAGAGGCTGAATGGAATTTTAGCAGATGAAATGGGTTTAGGGAAGACGATCATGACTATCTCCTTGCTAGCACACCTTGCATGTGAGAAGGGGATATGGGGTCCACATCTTATTGTCGTGCCAACCAGTGTTATGTTAAATTGGGAGACAGAATTTCTGAAATGGTGTCCTGCCTTTAAAATACTTACTTATTTTGGAAGTGCAAAGGAGAGAAAGCAGAAACGTCAAGGTTGGATGAAGCCAAATTTTTTCCATGTATGCATCACGACATACAGGCTAGTTATTCAGGACTCCAAAGCGTTCAAGCGAAAGAAGTGGAAGTATCTTATTCTTGATGAGGCTCATCTGATAAAGAACTGGAAATCACAAAGATGGCAGACTCTGCTGAATTTTAATTCGAAACGACGTATTCTGTTGACTGGAACTCCTTTGCAAAATGACCTTATGGAACTTTGGTCTCTCATGCACTTTTTGATGCCACATGTATTCCAGTCTCACCAAGAGTTCAAGGATTGGTTCTGCAATCCAATATCAGGAATGGTGGAGGGCCAAGACAAGGTAAACAAGGAAGTTATCGATCGGTTGCACAATGTCCTCCGCCCATTTATATTACGGCGATTGAAACGAGATGTTGAGAAACAGTTACCACAGAAGCATGAGCATGTCATATATTGCCGACTTTCCAGAAGGCAAAGAAACTTGTATGAAGATTTTATTGCCAGCTCAGATACACAAGCAACACTGTCAAGTGGCAACTATTTTGGTATGATTAGCATCATTATGCAACTCAGAAAGGTCTGTAACCATCCGGATCTTTTTGAAGGCCGCCCAATTATCAGCTCATTTGACATGGCAGGGATTGACATGCAGATCAGCTCTTCTGTTTGCATGGTCCTGGATAAGGGCCCATTTTCTCAGGCTGGTCTGTCTGATATGAACCTTGTGTTTACTCAAAATGAATTTAATATGACTTCTTGGGAGGCGGATGAGGTTGCTGCTGTCTTTCTTCCAGGCATCACCTCTAGGGGCTCTGGTGCAGAGATTTCTTGCTCTAGCAAGGCTGGTCAGAGAAGTAATGGAACAAATATTTTTGAAGAAATTCAGAAAGCCTTGCAGGAGGAGAGAATTAAAGAGGCCAAAGAAAGAGCAGCTTCAATTGCTTGGTGGAATAGGTTGAGATGCGAGAAGAGGCCTGTTTATGGTAGAAACATTAGAGAGCTTCTGACCATAAGACATCCTATGTGTGATGTTCTTGAGAAGAAGAACAACCCTTCATGCTACATGGATTTTTCATCGAGTCTAGCAGATCTTGTTCTTTCATCTGTGGAACGCTTCAATAAAATGCTTGGCTTTATTGAATCATTTACTTTTGCAATTCCTGCTGCACGGGCTGCTACTCCTATTTGCTGGTGCAAAAAAAGGAATTCACCTGTTCTTCTTGGACCAGCTTACAGAGAACAATGTATGAATGAGTTCTCGCCCATTCTCTCCCCTATAAGGCCTGCAATTGTTCGCCGTCAAGTGTACTTCCCGGACAGGCGCTTGATCCAGTTTGACTGTGGGAAGTTGCAGGAGCTTGCTGTCTTGCTGAGACGTTTGAAGTCAGAAGGACACAGAGCCTTGATATTTACTCAGATGACCAAGATGCTTGATACTTTGGAGGAATTCATTAATTTGTATGGCTATACATATTTGAGGTTAGATGGTTCTACCCAGCCAGAAGAGAGGCAGACACTAATGCAGAGGTTCAATACAAACCCGAAGTTTTTTCTTTTCATTTTATCCACTCGCAGTGGCGGTGTGGGAGTCAACCTAGTAGGGGCAGACACTGTTATATTCTATGACAGTGACTGGAACCCTGCAATGGATCAACAAGCCCAAGACAGATGCCACAGGATAGGACAAACACGTGAAGTTAACATCTATAGGCTAATTAGTGAGAGCACTATAGAGGAGAATATTCTCAAGAAAGCAAATCAGAAGCGAACACTTGATGATTTAGTGATACAACGCGGTTGTTACAATACAGAGTTCTTCAAGAAGCTAGACCCTATGGAATTTTTTTCTGGGCACACAGCTCTTAATGTCGAAGAACAGCCGAGGGATCGCTCTATGACTGCTGTATCCTCAAATGAAACTGGTCTGGCTCTGTCAAATGCAGATGTTGAAGCAGCTATTAGACAGGCAGAAGACGAAGCTGACTATATGGCTCTCAAAAGGTTGGAGCAGGAAGAGGCTGCAGACAATCAAGAATTCAGTGAGGAGGTTGCTGGAAGGCTAGAGGATGATGAGCTTGTAAATGAGGAGGATACAAAACCTGATGATCACACCAGTGAAGAGCATAAACATCAAAGTTCTGATGCGGATAAGGATAAAAATGTTGGTTTACCTGTGAACCAAATAAATGAAGAAAAGGCTCTTACATTGGCTGCAGGTGACGGAGATATGGATATGCTTGCTGATGTTAAGCAAATGGCTGCTGCAGCAGCTGCAGCAGGACAAGCGAGTTCATCTTTTGAAAATCACCTTCGGCCAATAGATAGATATGCAATGCGGTTTTTGGAGTTTTGGGATCCAATAATTGACAAAGCTGCTGTAAATTATCAGGTGAATGTTGCAGAGGAAGAATGGGAACTTGAACGCATTGAAAAACTCAAAGAAGATTTAGAAGCAGAAATTGATGAAGACCAGGAACCACTATCTTATGAGTGTAAGTGATTTCATGTTGATACTGACTGCACTCATGTTTGTCTTCTAAAAGTTCGTTGAGTCACTTTATTTTTTGCAATCGGTTCGAGCTAGTGCTCTCCTCAATGCATGACTCGCTCCTTTTTCTTATGTTCCAGTGTATTGACATTGTTTTAATTGCAGCATGGGATGTTGATTTCGCTACTACAGCGTATCGCCAACAGGTTGAGGCTCTAGCTAAAAAGCAGGTTAGTTTATATCTCAAGTTCTTGTGTGTGTGCCTCTTGTACATAGTACTATGAGTATTAATGTCGTCCGTGCTGTAATACGTGCAGTTGTTGGAAGAACAGGAAAGACAAGCTCTTGAAGCAGCCAAAGAGCTAGAGGAAATGAATGAAATGGCAAGGTAATGAGCAATTATGCTCTCAGCGCATTCACACTTTTATCATTGATGTATAGAATTACCTGTTCTATAGTTCTGTTAGACACTCCTCTACTACACTACTGTCCCTACTCTTCTTGCAGTAATATCATGCTATACATGCAATTCTTATATGCTTTTCTGCTGTTGACCAAATAAATGACTGTTTCCTTTTGTCATCCTTTTATAGCAGTCACCGCAAAAAGTCAAAGAAGAAGAAAAGGAAGGCAGGCAAGTTTAAGTCTTTAAAAAAAGGACGTGTGTCATCTGAGTCAGAGGCCATGCATGATGAAACGTCTGTAGATACTATGAGTATTGATGACAATGCACCCTCGCCAGAGCTTATGAGTGATGAATCACCACATCATGGTTCACATAAGCGTAAAAAGATGACACCTAGAAATGAGGAAGTGAGCAGCAGTAGCAGAGCCCTGAAGAAGTTCAAGAAAGCCCCTAAATCGAACTTTACTCCTGAGTCCTCATCACATAAGCACTCGCTCGAAGGCAAGCAACTCAAGTTGATGGATGAAGTGAATGATTCTGATCCAAAGTCGGTGAGAATTAAGAGTGATGGCCGGATTTCCATGCCCTCCATGCCAGCAAAACGTGTTATGGTAATTAAGCCTGAGAGGTTGAAGAAGAAGGGTCTTTTGTGGCCTCGAGATTGTGCTTTAGATTCGTGGACTACCGAGGAAGATGCAGTTCTTTGTGGAACTGTACATGAGTACGGTCCTGTTTGGGAACTGGCTAGTGACTTTCTTCATTCCATACCTGGTGGTGCATTTTATAGGGGAAGATATCGTCATCCTGTACATTGCTGTGAGAGATTCCGAGAATTATTCTGCAAATATGTATTGTCAGCTACTGACAATGCAAACAGTGAGAAGGCTCCTTCTGGTGCCGGGAAGGCTGTCTTAAAAGTATCTGAGGTGAGTTGATTTACTGTTATCTTTGTAGAGGAGAAATTTCCAACATGAGGATATTTTTGCATGTTCATGCTTTCCAGTACTATTGTCCTCTGGTTTATTTTACAGTAAGGTCCAGTTCTTTTGGTGGCTTATGACATAAGCCAACCCTTTCCAGCTTGTTTTAGAAATCGCCCCTATATTCGTTGAAGCATATTTCTAGAAGCCTAGGGGGCAGCTTATATTTTAAAAGCACAAAAAGAACTGGGCTTAAGTCTGAAATGGTGCATGTGTGAAACATGCCACTGACACAATATGGAGTATCTTGGAGTGAAACATCCTACTGTTTATTTCAGAATTTCCTTTTCTCAGAAACTCAACATAGCACTGGATTCCTCTTTTTTGAGTTATGGTAATTGCTGAATACTGACCAACTTTCTATTGCTGCTGGGAAGAGAATTTCATCTCTGACCAGTAAGCAAGTCAACATAGCTCTGCTGACCAGTAATCCTCTCTGAAATTCATAAGCGAGTAAATAGTCAAGCGGTATGTGTAAATATGTGTGCTAGGCTTGATACAATATTGAAATTACGTGGCTTCTTCCACATGTCTCTTTTTTCCTTGGGTCATATAGTTTGACATCATTTTTCTCTCCAGGTGTTTGTCAGCTATATTATGTGCCTTTCAGCTGTGCTTGTTAGCCACATATTGACCATTTCTCTATGACATCTTTCAGGATCAAACTCGGATGTTGCTGAATGTGATCAGTGAAATTCCTAACAACGAGTTGCTTCTCCAGAAACATTTCATGGCCATACTTTCTTCTGTTTGGAGATCAAAATGTGCTCATGAGTCCCGACATGTTACAAGTGTTTGTTCTAGTGCAACCCATAAGCCTGTTAGATTGAGTGAGAACTGGTCCATGGCAAACGACAAGCCATCATTTAATCTGGTAAGGACAGCCCTCGTAGACGCACAGGCCCAATGTTCAAGAGTGGCAATACCAACAAGCAACCAGGAACCTCGCCGGAGGCATTTAGATTTAGTATTGGATTTCCGGACAGATCGACATGCTTACCAGGCTGACTTTCCATCTTTAGTGAATGTGTCCATTCTAGAACCAGATCCTATTAGACGCACTGTTGTGCCGGTGGAACAATCACTGCTGTCTGGGCTTCCTCATAGACATGCTGAGAACAGATTCAGGTCAGTGGTGTCTAATGCTTTATTGTTGCAGTGCTGGTGACCCTTATTGTCCTTGTTTTGTAATCGAGATGAGCAGTTGTGCTTCAAATTATTTGAACCTTCATGTTGTTTTGCAGGATAGCATCAGAAGCTTGTTTTGAAGGGGAAGGTTCTCACTGGGCATCATCTGTCCACATGAATGATGCTGCTCGACATAAATCTGGTTCAAAGTCCACAGGAAAACACAAAGCAGCTTCAGAATCGGGAAGACCACCGAAATCGAAAATTCAGAGGACGGCTGAACCGCAGGAAATGCCGGCTTTGAAGTTTGATTTTCTCCGATCCCCCCGGCAACTGTTGACAAGTGCAGCTGAGTTCCCCATCACACAGTCCCTATCCGACTTTGGCATCGATGATTCTGAGTTGACCTACATGGAGGATCTTCCTCTAGAAGAGACTGACACTGAGTTTGCCCCGTCCCAGTATGACCCAGTTTCCCTTGCTGGTATCGAGGAGTTGGATCCTCTTGTGGATTTGACAGACATTGGATGAGAATGAATGGACATTTTGGTCTAGATAGCATGCATGCCCTTCTATCAAAGAGCAGACAAGATTTTGTCTCTGGCAGGGAGCCGAAGGATATGCGGTCGAGTTGCTCAGCCATGCATGGTTTTGGTTGCAATCTTGGTCATGATTGGCGGGAGCGGTGCTGTCGGCGAGGCCACGTGGATCCTGATGAGTTTGGAGCATGGGGGTTTGCTGCTGCACTAATGGAGGCATTGGGGGTACTCTCTATACATGTATGTATATTGTTAGTCTAGGATCCTAGGATGTAGAAGTGAGTCTCCCTCCCTCCCCCATCTGTCTCGAGAGATCATCTTGTAACTTCACCATACATGTAAATTTTGCTTAGCAGATGCCAGCAGGGACGGAAAAGAGGAGGCCCTCGTCATAGCCCTGCCGTGATTTCTTGATTGTTGCTCCCTTGGCCGTTTAATCCATTCCTGTCATTTTTCCTACCTGGCACTAGAAAATTAACAGTCGTGTACCCCCTGGCTGTGAAACAGATACTTGGATCAATTGCTCTTGAGAGAATTCGGTGTTCAGATTCTTGTGGACCAATGATTCTCTCCGTTTGTGTTGATCCTGAAGTTCGTACGAGCAACAATTTGCCTCGGGTGGATTCTCTGTGTGCTTCATTTATGTCCTAATTGATAATCTTCTTTTGTAGCTGGAATAATGTTCGTATTGTTGTTTCTAAGTTTAGGTTTTGTGAAAAATTTGGCAGTTGCAAGAATTAGAGATCTATGGCAAACACTTTCGGTATGTTATGTGTGGGTGAAGGAGTTGAACCTGGAGCATCTGTACTGTGTAAGAGATTTGCAACATTATATCATCTTTGAACCTTTGACGTGTATTCAGATTACTGTGGGAGTTCTTTGCCTGCTCTACCATGTACATTTCTTGGTTTCGATGTAGATGCGGTTAGTGCAAATATTTGAAGCCTTGAGTTGTTCTTTCATTGTTTGTATCCTAGCAAAAAGGCCGCGCGATGCAACGGGACAAACAAAATCATAATCTCTAATGCCCATGACCACATTTTGCTGCATCACCGAGATATACTATCACTCTCAATTTCATGAAACCATGAATAACTTTTGGAACCGTGAACATTTTTTGAACTCTTGCACATATTCGAACTTTGATTTCTTGAACATTTGTTTTCAAAATTATGATTATTTTTTAAATAAGAAAATATTTTGAACAAAACCGCAAGCATCTTTTGAATCCACAAACATTTAATGATTTATTATACATTTTATTTCAAAATTATCATTTTTTTTACAATCAGAAAATTTATGAAGTTCGTAATTATTTAAAGTAGAGAAAAGCAAAAACAAAAAAGAAAAAAAAGAAAAATAATAATTAAAAAACAGGCCGCTCGGATATGGGCCGGCTCAAACGGGTGCGCTGCTTCTTCTCCCAGCAAAGGGCCCGTCCATGCAACGGGAGAAAATGAGAATTTTCAATGGCCATTATCACATTTTGCTGCATCACCGAGATAAACTATCACTCTCAATTTCGTGAAATCATGAATATTTTTTTAAACTCATGAACATATTTGAAATCGTGAATATTTTCAATTTCATGAACACTTTTACTAGTTGAGTACATTTTTAATTTTTTTTGAACATTTCTTTAACAATTTTCTTGAATCTGCGACCATTTTTCGAATGGACGGATATTGTTTTGAAAATTTGCAGCATAGTTTCTGAAATTCATGAACATTTTTTGGACTTAACGTACATTTTTTGATTTAACAAACATTTTGAAATGCATAACCACTTTTTGAATCAGCGAATATTTCATGAGTGAATAAACTATTTTGTAAGTCATGAACAGTTTTGAATTTTTAGGATATTTTTCCATTCGTGAACATTTTTTGAATTCCCAAAAAATTTGTTCAATTTCATTAACATTATTTAATACAAGAACTATTTATAAAATTATGAACATTTTTTGATTTCCCAAAAAATTGTTTTCAAAATTTTGAACATTTTTTGAGGGCAATTTCCATGACGTACCGCAAGAAGCAATAGCCTGAAACACACTTATATGATATGGTCAACAGAACTGCTCTTGTTAGTGTGTTTTTCTTTTCATTTTTGAGCTGGCCAGAAGCAGTGTTGTTAGTGGGGTGGTTTGCAAAAGAACTGGCTCTAATAGAGCCACAAACGAGCCCTCAAAGCAATCTAAGACACTAAATTGTCCGATCTTAAGTACGAACGTGCCTGAATCATTGAAATCACGAGAAGTACTCCATGCAAAGATCACTTCCGTTGGCCACTTATCGCAGCCTAAGAGTTATCTTTTTTTTTCATAGATCCGTTTATTCGAAATGTTTTATCTCTTAAACCGTGCGTCCAAATCTCGAACCGTTTTCACCCTTGGATTCTTCGCATCGAGATCGTTAAACTAAATCTCATGTTGATAGGTTTTGACGTACTTTATTTTTCATGAAAAAAACCGGGCGAAAAAAGCACACCTTGAGCTCCCGTTTGTGATGTACGAGTAAGGCGATAGTTCTTAAGTCGAAACAAACCTGTTTTTTCCATTGTTTCTTCTCCCTTTTTTCCTTTTTTTCCTTTTTTTCTTTGCCTTTTCTCTCTTTTCATTTGTTTTTTCTTTTCTGGTTGTTTTTTTGGTTTTCTTGTTTTCTTTTGTTTCTTTTTTTAATCTTTATTGTAGTTGTTTCTTTGCCTTTTTCCTTTTTTATTTAGTTTATTTTGTTACTTTTTGGATTTAATCTTTTTGTTCTCTTTGTTTCTTTTGGTTACATTCTACATTTTTTTGTATATGGCAACGGTATTTTTCTACACATTTATCATTCTTACAATACAAATTTAACATTTTTTAATACATGGTCAACATTTTTTCTATAAGTATGTAACATTTTCCAATTTCTTGATTAACATTTTTGAAATAATTGTTCAACATTTTTAAATGGTTGCTTAACATTTTTATATACATGACAACAAATCTTCATTTTTTAATACATGGTCAACATTTTTTCTATACACAATTAAAATTTCCAAATGCTTGATTAACAATTTTTAAATATTCATTCAACATTTTCTTTAAATTCTTTATTAACAATTTTGTATACACGATAAAAAAAGATCATGATTTCTTTAATACATGGTCAACATTCTTTCTATACACAATTAACATTTTTGAAATGATTGACTAACATTTTAAAATACTTGTTCAACATTTTTTGAAATGGTTGACTAACATTTTTGTATATATGATCAATAAAGTCCATCATTTTTTTAACAAATGGTCAACATTTTTTATATACACATTTAACATTTTTCAAATGCTTGATTAACATTTTTTAAATACTTGTTCAACATTCTTTTCAAATGCTTGATTAACATTTGTATATACATGATCAACATATTTTGTAATACTTGTTCAACATTTTTCAAATACGTGTTCAACATTTTTATTTTGAATGCTTAATTAACATTTTTATATACATGATCAACATTTTTTCAAATACTTCTTCAACATTTTTCAAATACTTGTTCAACAATTTTCAAATACTAATTCAACATGTTTCAATTTTTTTTCATATATATATATTTTAAAATATAAAAAAGTACAAAATATAGCAAAAAAATGAAATCAAAAGACATAAAAGAAAAGAGGAGAACGAAGCTGCAGCCTCTTTTGCGCCTGGATGGCCTAATTCGCCCTCCCCTTCAGCAAGCATTCCCTCGCTCTCACAGAAAGCCAGAAATAGGGGCGCCCGCCCAAGTCGGCTAGACCGAAATGAAAGGGGCCGCTCCGCAGGCCATTGTCAGTACTTTCTCATGAACCGGCCGCCGTCGGCTTCAAGGTGGGCAGATGAGATGTGAATCTCAACATGGCAATGGGTACTCGTGAACCTTACGGATAAAACACTATTAGGGTAAGGGTTTAGAAAAAGTAAATACCCATGAGTTTATAAATGGGAAAAAATTGTACCCATCGGGTAGCCGGGTATGGGTAGGGAAAGGCAAAACCCATACCCACATACCCATATACTAATTCATTCTACCAGGTATGTTCCATGTGTCATTTACTTAAGGGAAAAAACCTAGCCGCTTTGCCCTAGGCTAATGCAGTTGCTAGCCTTGACCCAAAATCTGTCCCCTTACCCATGTGCATATCTTGTTTAAATGTGTTCTTCTTTTGTGAACTCATGATTTTGTCTCTAATTTTTTTATCTTATTATATGGTCTCCTTCATTTGATCATTTCGAAGTACGGGCTACAGAAGTATCTTCAATAAAAGAAATTTAAAGAAATTGTGCCCTCCTGTTTGCCTTGTAACTGAAAAAAAGAAGAAATAATAGATGTGAATGTTTGTCTAAAAGGTTCATTTGCAAACTATTCATCCATGAATGTAACTGGATATTTTTTAGTGCCATCTAGTTCATGTTTATTGCTATCCACTTCTGAAAGTTAATACCATTCTCTGTATTCCATATCACAACAAATCGTGATATATATGTGTACTAAAATGCTGAAATGTGGTATATATGTGCTCAAAAGTTGAGATGCGAATTGTTTTATGACTGGAGCGATCAAACTGCTGATCTGAAGCCCTCCACCTACGTCACCAAAATTACCCGAAGCCCCAAAATACCCAAACGAGTGGTAGCGGCAGGCGGTGTCGATAAGGGAGCAGGGAGGCGATGGCGCGTGCGAAAGGACCTTCAAGGGCGTGTTTGGTAGCATGCATGGTGGATGTATAGGCTAAAAAGTTCCCTATCCGACCCACTTTTGCTTGTTTAGTAAGGTGCATGGGCTCACCTGGGCTATGCCCATCTCATGCAAAAAAGACCCTTAGCCATTCCCATCTTATGCACCCCATAGAGGCGAGCTGGGTTGAGCGAGGCTAAGGCCGACCCAGAGAAAAATCTCCCCTGACCCCCCTCATGAACCCTCTCATCGTGCTACCCCCATTCTCTCCTGACCTAGCCGCCATCCTCACTCCTGCGA